AAGATGAACTTTTACAAGAGATGAACAAAAGGGTTGAGGTTGGACTCCATCAATGGCGGAAATGCATGGAAAGGAAAGGAAGTGCTAATCTTCAACTCGAGGCAATGCATGTAGAACCATGTATCAAAAACCTATGAATCAAGTATTCAAGAGTAAAAGCTCACTAAATTACATTCATGCATTTCAGGGCTGAACTGCAAAATGAGCAAGAAATGAAAGATATGCTAAAAGGAAGAGCTATGACCCAAGAGGTTTCACCTTGATGAATTTCTATTGTCTAGAGAAATTTATAGCAATGCTCATTGCAGCAGGAAAACTAATGTTCAACAAACAACACCAGTGACAAATAAAAGCCTAGCAACTGGGCAGCAGATGGTGAAAATATCACTTATAATAATTGGAGACCGACGCACATTTCTGCCAAAAGCAGAAAATCTTATGCATAATGAGGCAATGAGGCGTCATGTGCTTTTGTTGTTCCCATAGATGAGTCCTGCAACAGTAAAGAAGACCTCTTACATTGATTTCCATAGTTCAATGTGTTCAATTAGCAGTTCATAATGAGATGCAAAAAGTAAAAATTAAAACACATCTGCATCCATTTTATCAAATTAATAGAATCTTTGAGGAAAGAAGATAAGATTCTGCAGTATGTTCTTCCAACATGACCTCTTCGAAACAGTAATCAAATTCAATATGATTACCTTAAAAAAAACAATCACTACTAGTAGCCAACATATACTGCAGCATTCACTATGTAACAGTCATCGTTTTTATCTCCCATTTCCTCCACATGCACACCACTTGAGCATATCAGTCCTCCATCCACAACTTCAACATCCAGAATTTTCCCACTGTAATGATTTCAAAAAGATCCCAAACAAGTGAAAGAGCACCACACATCAGACACCGTAGACAGCCCTAATTAATAATTAGTGGTGTCATATACCAAATAAATATTGTTAAAAGTGACAAGTTCAAAATTGCAACTGTATCAGTTTCTCCTCTTTCTTTGGTCTTAAACATAAAAATAAAGTAGAATATATTTAGGCCATAGTCACAGAGAGACATGGAAGATCAGATCAACTTATGGCACATAGGAAACAGTTATAGAAACCAAGGCACCGAACTTAAACAGAGTAGATACTCACTAAGGAAAAACAGATTTCACCCTCTCAATATCCAATGACTGCTGGAGAGAATGAGGGACTCCTAACTTGATCTGTAGTTTCATCTGCTCAAATGAGACACCAGGTATGGACCCTGCAACAGTTTTATATTGTCATAGACTCATAGCCAACACAGCAACTTCCACTAGACAGTTCATAAATCCAACGTGACAAAACCACTATTCCAAACATGGTTAAAGTCCAAAGCTTTTGAGCCTAAACTGGATAGTTCTTTCACACTGAAATAAATAACTTAGATTCATAAGCACTACTTTTACAAGAATACATTTTATTTACATCGAAGAAAAGACATTCAGCTTTCAAGCTATTTAATATTTTTCCCATCGAAGGATAAAATTTCATACGCCCTGAATGCAAAGATAATGGAATGAACACCTAAAAACCTTTAAAATTGAAAACTGTGAGGAAAAAAAGAAGAAGAAAGGAAACCCAATAAAGATTTACCTCTCCTGAATGCAGGAATTGAGTTAGAAGAAATAGCATCCCTACAAGCCCGCATCGCTGCCGCCGTAATATCTTGCCTGCACATTGCAAAATTTTCATCATCAAAACCTAGTTTTTACAGAACTCGACAATCCAAGAAACAAAGATGAGGTAATACAGCTTCGATGGGTATAACTGGAACTGAAGACGTAAAGCTAAGGAAGACGCACCCATGTTGGTCATAACCCACGCCCATCTCCACAAACAAAAGCTTCATCGCTGGGCTTGAGGCGCTGTCGCCGGTGGTCGAACTGCCGGCTTGGTCAACTTCCATGGCTGCTGCGGCTCTAATCGGGCGTCGAAATCGAGGAGATTGGGCGATAGAAAGAAGAGAGCTTGATGTTGATGTTCGGCTTGAATATGTTTTGGGGGTGAGAGAGCGAAACTGAGTGGAGGTGAGAACTGCGAATTTCGGGAGTAAGCAGGCAGTCATCCCCCTTTCAGTTCAGGTCAGCAAATTTTTTTTTTTTTTTTCTACAAAGCAAGTGTTTTCCTATTATTTAAAAAGTAGAAATGAGGTTTAATACAAGAAAATAATAATATTATAAAAACAAATAGAGTACTCCTAATGTTTTTCAGGTCACCTTATATATAAAAGTATAAAAGAAAAATTTCAAGTCAAATTGCATAATATTTAAGAAATTATTAAAATATTTAAATAATTTTTTTGAAAGAAAGAGTTTTATTAATTTTAATTGTGGAACGACGCTTTCTAATGAGCAGCCTTTTGGAAGAAACATTAAATTAAACTCATAAAATATGAGTTCTGGTCAAAGAAAGAAAAAAACCGGGAATCTTTCATTTTATTATGGTCAGGATGACAATTTATCTCGATTTTCGTGAAATTATGTAGAGATTCTCGTCATGGGGGTGGGATGAAAAGGGGGAGTATTTTTTTTCTGTGAAAATTTATGAAGAATTTTTTCCGTTCCAGGAGATCACGTGGGGATCCTTATTTTTACAAAAAATTTAAAAAATATGTAAATTAATTTTACTTTAAATTTAATTTAACTTAATTTTACTTAATTTATTATTAATTTTTTAATTATTTATATTAGATTAATTTTTATTTAAAAATAATATAATTTTTTCTTTTTTAAAAATTATTTTCCATCTTGTGTTCGTAATTTATGTACCTCTATATTTTCTATGGTAAGGGTTTGGAGCAAGTAACCAGACT